TGTTGAAAGGAGAAAAGTTTCAGCTAAGACTCAACATTAGTATGCTATGATGAGAGAGGCTCCATTACAGGGTGATAAGCAATCTACCTTTCTACTATACAGAACTGTCAGTGTAGGGTCATAGCACAGGGGGGTACATGCAGCAGGAAGAGGGGAAGAGACACTGGGAACACTCAATATATGAACAAGCTATTCCCCTCTCCCTAAAAAGAGAGGAGCTTTCTGAGCAATCTTTACACAGGCCTGTCTTCCTGGGGGTCATTTGACATAACAGTTCCACCAGATGGAGACAGAAGAGTCTCCAAAAAAAGAATCCCTTTGGGTTATTTTCAAATTGGGCAGGGGGAGAAGAGACCTAATAACACTATTTGACTTCCGAGGGATATGCGTCAAACTGCCTAAAACAAACTCAGAGCATGATCCATTAACATCAGCACTGTCTACTGTCCTCAGTAAAGGAAGCCACAGCCCTCAGTTTGCAAGAGCTGAGCAAGGGTGTAAATGGTATGGCATTCCTAATAATTCCTAAGTCAGAAGCAACTTTATGACCCATAACACACACACCCTCCCATTCTGACTGGTTGCAGCTATCCAGGGTCCTAAGTAGAGGTCTTTTACATCACCCACTACTTGATCCTTTTAAAGTGGTGGTGCTAGTGATTGAACTTAGGACCTTCTGCATGCAAGGCAAATGCTCCACCACCAAGCCACAGCCCCTCCCCCAAACCAAAAGACAGCCCCTGAACAAACAAAAAGCATCTTCCTTTTCAAATTCCTCTGAGATATGAAGCTAAAAGGTGCCTCACCCAAGCCTAGGCAGAGGCTTCTCTCCCTCCACAATGGGTTGGTACCAGATCTCATACTCGGGGTTGAAAATGAAAAGTGAATTACTGCAGGCTCCAGGCTCCAGGGCTGAGATTTTTGGGAACGCACCTCCAAAGACAAACAGCTCCTTACGATAGATAGTAGCACTGTGATAAGCCAGTGTTGGCACCTTCCCCTTGGCCTGAGGAAGAAATTTCCAGTCACAACAGAGTATTTGCATATTAGGGGGACCTGCACATCAAAATCTGGGGGGTGGGTTTCTAGCTACAGACATTACTGGATGACGCCTCTCAAGTTCCTGATGCACTTAGTTTTATAAAGCACCTCTCACTAATCTGTGAGCTGAATGAGGCATTAGGCCACCTCTCTATTACCTGAAGACACACTTACAAAAGGTGTTAGATGATCTGTAGAATCAGAAAGAGAGGAATGAACATACAGAGACACTTAAAGAACCTATTCTGTTGCTGACCAGTGCTTTGTTTAAAGGCCAAACTACCCTTTGCAGTTCTCTACTAGTTCTGTCTGGGTTCCCAGACCCGACTTTCAGTCATACAGCAGCTGCAAGTTCACTGCTTGTAACTCAATTCCTGAGCATGCAGGGGACCAATTCAGACTGTGGTCATCACCCAAAGAGGCCATTTTGCATCAGGAAAATTACATGAGAGGCTGAACACTGTCTCCCCATGCACTTGGGAATTAAATTTCCAGTAGGGAACTCACAGATTATGCCAGACAGGCTGACATAAAGTCAGGTAGGGGAACCCACAGCCAGCCATAGAACCAAGTCAGCTGGGCTGGGAGACAGAACCCAGGAGAGAGCTGCTGGGAAGGTGAGTGTTTATTTGCCTTTCCTAAACTGCTATGGCCAGCATGGTTAATGAGACAAGAAAAGGAAGCTATAAAAAGTTAAGAGGCTTGTTTTCAAAACTGGAAGGTCTGCCCCAATGAATTAAACAAGAGGGACCACAGGCTCTGGCAAAAGAAATGCTAGTCAATAATTGAGAAGCGGGTTGCTAAAGCATCAAGACGAACAATAAACATTTTTTTAAATATATCTAGAGCCAGAAACCAGCCAGAGAAACAGTGGGGCCTTTGGATGACAAAGGAATAAAGGGATTGCTAAAGGAAGATGGGAAGATGACAGAAGCGCAATGACTTTTTTGCTTCTGTGTTCACTGTGGAAAGTGGGGGACTTGCTTTTGACATGATACCCCACCAAATACTCCTGAGTAAATTTAGCAATCCTGGGATAAGAAGATGGGTTCTCTTATGGATTAAAAACCAGTTACATGACAGGAAGCAAAGAGTAGGAATCGATGGACAGTTCTCACAATGGAGGGAAGTAAGCAGTGGGGGTCCCACAAGGATCAGTATTGGGGCCTGTACTATTTAATTTCTTTATAAATGGATCTGGCACTAGGGCTGAGTAGTGTAGTGGCCAAATTTGCAGATGACACAAAATTATTCAGGATGGTAAAAACCAAGGCTGACTTTGAAAAGCTCCCAGAGGAACTCCACAAAGTGGGTGAGTGGGCGACAGTAAGTGAAAAGTGATGCACACTGGGACAAAAAATCCCAGCTTCAAGTATAAGCTAATGGGGTTTAAACTCGCTGAGATGGAGAGGGAAAAAGATCTTGGGGTCACAGGGGATAGCTCAATGAAAGTATCAACCCAGTGTGCTGCAGCAGTGAAAAAGGCAAACTCTGTTAGGGATCATTAGGAAAGGGATGAGAATAAAATGGCCAATATTGTAATGTCCCTGTATAGATCTATGGTGCAGCCTCATCTGGAATACTGTGTACAGTCCTGGTCACCATATGTCAAAAAGGACATTGGAGAGCTGGAAAAAGTACAGAGGAGGGCTAGCAAGATTATTAGGGGGTTGGAGCACCTTCCCTATGAGGAAAGGCTGAAGAATCTGGGACTTTTCCATTTAGAAAAGACACAACTGGGGGGGACAGGACATGATAGAGGTTTATAAAATTATGCGTGGAGAGAGCTGACAAAGAGAAATTTTTCTCCCTCTCCCAAAATACTAGAACTTGAGGGCATCCAATGAAACTTATGGGCAGTAGGTTCAACAGACAGAAGGAAATACTACTTTACACAGAGAGTGATTAAAATGTGGAATTTGCTGCCCCAGGATGTAGTAATAGCCACAGGAATAAACAGCCTTAAAAGGGCATTAGATAGATTCATGGAGGATAAGTCTATCAATGGGTACTAGCCATGGTGACTGATGGGAACCTCCACACACAGAGGCACTGAGCCTCCGAATCTCAGAGCTGAGAGGTAACACCAGGGAATTACTTGGCCTCTATGCCCTGTTGTTGGCCACTGTGTCAGACAAGATACTGGACTAGATGGACCATTGGTCTGATCCGGCAGGGCTCTTCTTATGTTCAGCCAGTGGAAAGTTGTAACATGCAGTCTGGCCCTCACTCACAGATATGCGAAGCCACTTCCAAGATGTCGTGTCCAGTACATGGATGCTGCTATAGCGCTTCCCTTCCCTTAGGCCGCCAAAGATGTAGATACGTTTGGTGTCTGGGTCATAGGTGGCAGTGTGACCCCGTGAACACTGTGGCACAAAATTTTGCCCTGGGAAGTCCATGGGGAACCAGAAGTCGTCATCTGCAAAGTCAGTAGCAAAAGACAAGGAGCAAAATCAGGAAGCCCCAGTAGCCATAAACATGTTAAAACCTGGAGCCAGCTTCTTGGCCCCCAGGGCTCAAATATCAAGAAATGGCAGCTTATTCTGTTTCACTATCCATCATGGCTCTTAAGGGACTCATACAGAGGGTTATCTGGAGGTCTCCCATCCAGGCACTGACCAGACTTAAACCAGTACAGCTTTAGCAAAGTTTTCTGCCTTCAACCATACCCAAGGACCTCTGAATTCTTTTCAGATTTCCTCCAAATCACTTTCAAGTCCAAAATGCCAGGTAACAGCATTGGATACTCCTTTCTCATCTGAAATACAATCAGTTCTTACCTATTCTCTCATTGTCTCCCCCACTCACTAATACAATCAGAGAAGATGCTCACCAATTTCCAGTTTCCAAAGAGCATCCTTGCAAAACTGTTGATTGGCTCCTTCACCACCCATCAAAACAGCTGTTTCAGGGTCACTGAGGCACATGGCATGACACCATCGAGGGCTTGGACATGCTGCAGAGCAGAAATTCATACAGTCAACAGAACTGCATTATAGACCCCACCCTACTTTGAGATGGTAGGTCAGGAGACCCCTCCCCTCAAAACTATGATGTATAATTAATAGAGAGTTCAAGATAGTTCACAACTATAAATACAAGGGGGTAAAAAAGAAAAGGCAGTTCAGCTCCTCCCCACACACAAAATCAGAACAAAATAATTTTCCTCAAGGTAATAACTGGTTAGTTTACTCTTCAGCAGGGGTCATTTCGTAGAAAAAGAGCTGCAGGAGCTCATTAGCATAACTTATTCGCATATGCCACACCCCCTGACATCACCGGAAGTGTGCACCAGCCCCTCTGACAGGCAGAGGGAGAGGCTCCAAAATCGCAGGGTAGCTGCTGGAGCCTCTCCCCAAGATACCCTCCATGTTTCAGGAACATTGAACCAGGGGGTCCAATTCTACGGCCCCCCAAACAGGTTGCCCCCATCCCCTCCATTGTTCTCTATGGTGGGGGGAAAAGTTACTTTTTTCCCGCCATAGAGAACAATGGAGAGAATAGGGGCAACCTGTTTGGGGGCCCGTAGAATTGGACTCCCTGGTCCAATGTTCTTCAAACTTGGTTGGTATCTAGGCCCGGCGTTCTAGCGGGGAGCCTGAAAAGGGGGGGCAGCTGTGCAGGCCATTTTTCAGGCCCGGTGCTCCGGCGCGGAGCCTGAAAAAGGCGGCCATAACTTTTTTAAGAGCCCCTCCCGAGAGCTGGGGGTGCCAGAATGACCTCTCGCGTGTGATGTCCGAGAGGTAGCGAGAGGTGGAATTTGTCCCTACGAGTCCAAGGCCACCATCCCGGGGCTCAGGGAGGCAAGGGAACGTTTCGCCCCACCCCTCCCCCCGCGGGCGGGCATTGCAGCTGCTGCTGAGAACAGCGAGAGCGGCCATAACTTTTTAAAGAGCCCCTCCCGAGAGCTGGGGGAGCCAGAATGACCTCTCGCATGTGATATCTGAGCGGCAGCGCCACAGGCATCACACACGAGAGGTGGAATTTGCCCCTATGAGTCTAAGGCCACCACCCCGGGGCTCAGGGAGGCAAGGGAACGTTTCGCCTTGCCCCTCCCCCCCGCGCGGGCATCGCAGCTGCTGGCGAGAACAGCGACAGCGGCCATAACTTTTTCAAGAGCCCCTCCCGAGAGCTGGGGGAGCCTGAATGACCTCTCACATGTGATGTTCGAGTGGCAACGCCGCTCGGACATCACACGCGAGAGGTGGAATTTGCCTCTACGAGTCCAAGGCCACCACCCCAGGGCTCAGGGAGGCAAGGGAACGTTTCGCCTCACCCTTCCCCCCGTGCACGGGGGTCGCAGCTGCCGCCATAACTTTTTAAGGAGCCGGGAAGGAGAGCTGGGGGAGCCAAAATGACCTCTCGTGCGAGGGGTGGAATTTGCCCCTACGAGTCCAAGGCCACCACCCCGGGGCTCAGGGAGGTGGGGGAACGTTTCGCCCCCCACACACTGTGTCCCACCTGATGGCTGGTGGGAGCAGGGGGCGGGGCTTATGTGCCCGCTCCCTGGGCCCCTGACTGGCAGAGCGGTGCTCCGGTGTGCTCCGGCAGGAACCAAGGCCTGCTCTTCAGGAATTAGTGGCATGGGTAAAATGTCTATTGGACCAGCTGTATTTTAAAACTAGCTTTTAAACAAAAACAGATGCGGAGATCAAAGAGAAGAACTATATAATGAAATAAGATGTTATTTCCCAGAGTATGTATGGTTCTTATCTGACATTTCATCACTCAGTTTTTTAGTATATCCTGCATTTCTTCCATCACAGAGTTCAGGGTGATGAACACTGAGTTCAAAGGCAGTCTCCCATCCATTAACTGACCAGATCCAGACTTGCTGAGCTTCAGTAAGGTTGCTCTATCTAGTGCCAGTACCCTGACACTTTGAGGGTCAACATATGAACAGCCTCTATTGAGACAGATTGCATTTAAGTTGATGGGCAGCAATTTCTCAAAGCTCACTTTGAGGCTTTTGATCTGCCAAAGCTATTTTATACTCATCACCACTTCCTGTTATGGCTTTTGAACAACCCACCATGATTGTATCTATGTCCACATGTTAGCTGTTAGTATTTAAGGTTCAATTAGAAATGGAAAAGGTATTTTCTGCCTGAACCAGTGATGTAGGTTTTCTGAGGAAAACTGAACCTGAAAATTTGCCAATTCAAATTTAAATAAATGATTTAAATTATGTTAGCAAAAGAAGGCAAATACACCATGTACAAGTACTGGGGTATGTCCATGCTTCATATTGCATTTAGCTCATTTTAACATGACTGATATGTAGCACAACAGCCCTGATAACTAGTTCATATTTACATATGCAGGGCAGAAAATTTTCCATGGAAAAACATAGCATCAGAAAACGTTCTTCCCCACATCACTGGTCTGAATTTGAAAGAAATGTGTATTTTTGGTCTGCATAACTGTACCCAAGAGAACTACCTTCAGCCAGGAACCCTGCAACTCTTTGAAACAATTACGAGCATGATCAAAGACATGGGAACGAATTCTCTTTTGCTACTTATAAAGAAGATACAGATGCATGCCAATTTTTACTTCTTTTTTATAAGGAATTTCTGGACCTATTTGAGAACAAGATTAAGAATAGAATACTTGCTCTCAAGCTGCCCCAGAGATTCATTATAAAAAAGGCGGCAGCAAGACAACTGGTATCCACAGATTTCTCATGACAACTCTCCTCAAACTGCCCCAGGGATTCATTATAAAAAAGGATGTGACATGACAACTGGTACCCACAGATTTCTCTTTACAATACTCCCACAAGTCTTTCTGCAGTGGTGTCTCAGCCTCACATTACTGGAAGATAAGCGGCAATAGATATACTACTAAGGCTGAGTGTGGGGAAAATGCAGTGTTCTGGGAACAGAAGCATTTCCTTGAGAAAATATTTTATTCCTAGGGAACAGATAAATTCACTCTCACATTTCCAACAAGTAACCAAGTATCCAGATGAGGTATCTAATCAACTCAATAATGGAGTGACTCAGCCACAGCTGCACATTATTGTAATTACCCATATCTATCACCTGTAGAGTGGGAGCAGGAATACAATTTAAAGTGCCAAAAGGAGTACACAGGAAACTATCAGATCCTATTTTTAACCACAGCTCTTGGCCTTGTACTCCACACACATCCCCCACTTTTTCCCAGACAGATGTGGACACAAGTAGTAAGCATGGGAGAAATGCTTTGAAAGATGCTTGGGAGGGGGGACAGTACCCACCACATCCACATGACACTTGGGCACATTAAATGTACCCCCCCCCATCCCCAGCATTATGCACAACCAGAACATATCTGGCTTTGAAAATACGGTTCTGCCAATCATATGTACAGCTTGAGCTTCAAAGGAAGCACTTGTTTGGCGTATTGTTCATTCTGGGGTTCATTTCTGTTCCTCACATTGGAGAACACTGAAGAAAACCAAACAAAACTTACAAGAATCTTTGCCCACAGAAGAAGAAACTCAAGAAAAGTCTAAAGGATAGAGGTGCTCACCTTGCAACTCTTTCATTTCTAAATCTGCGGAGAGAACAGACATAAATTATCTTGGTGTGCAATGGTGTTTTCATGCTTCTTTTAAAAAGTTCTGGGCTACCCACCACTACCCAAAAGGAGAGTGATCAGCTTATGGGTTGACTGATCTTTCACCTACTTCCTCTCCAATTTTTTCGTACAGCTATGTCCACTCATAGCTATTAATGTATGTGCAACTGAAGTAAACAATTCAGAAACCAGAGAAAAGGATCTAAGCCCACAAGTGTTGACTTTATCAAAGGAAATCATACACACTCCCTAGTTCATGCAACTAATGACCAACCATATGAATAATAGTTTTCATGCTTCATTCACCCTTCCTAAACTCCTACTTCTTGGCTGTTTGTTGCAACAAGTGCTTCTCCTTATCACAAAAGAATCTGCAACCTTGGAGCAAAGCAGCTGGACATATAGATGTCTGAACTTTTAAGCTAAAACAGGAAGCACTGTATGTCTTGCACTACTTAGATTCAAGTTTCTACAGAGAATAATATTTTATGACTGGTTAAAAATGCAAGTAACACAGGGGAATTAGTTTAAATGATCTCATTTTGCTTGACTAAGGTAATATTTGGTGTCTTAATGCCATAAACTCTACCCTTCAAAGCAGCCATTTTCTCCAAGGGAACTGATTACTGTCATCTGGAAAGCAGTTGTAATTCTAGGTAATCTCCAGCTCCCACCTGGAGGATGGCAACCCTAGTTCCCCTGGAGGCATGATATCGCTCTGAAGTCCCACCTGTGCTCAAACCCCACCCTCCATCCCCAAATCTTTAGGAATTTCCTAACCTGGAGTTGGCAACCCTATCTCTTTCCTACCCAACACTCAACCTACCTTTATCTGCCCCCCCCATCTTAAGCTTCCCGCCCCCAGCAGCCTCTTCCTAGGAAAACTGTGGCCCAGTTGTGTGGTGCAAGCCACTGGGTCAAGCCCACTAGCATGGAATTGTGGGGAAGCACTTCACTTTCCCCTCTATCTCCCTCCCCACATTATTTCCTGTTTTCCTTCCCCTGGCAACCCCCATATTCTCCCCCCTTTCCCTGCCTCATTCTATCCTACTCAGCCATTCACCAACCTACCTTTTATCTGCCTCCCGTCTTCAGCTATATGTATTCTTTATTATTTAATTCATTCATACCCCACCTTTCTCCACAGTTGGGGACCAAAGCAGCAGAGGGCCCTTTTCAGGTTTGCAGAAAGATCTGACCTGCCTATTCACAGCTCCAGTCACCGGATTTTACGTATCCTCAGATCTGGCTAACTTTGCTACCAACTTTGCTACTGGTATATAGAGGATGATATCATGAAATAAACAAACAAACCAGAAGCCTTTTTTCTATGTCCAGAAATTGAATTATTTTTGCTGGGCCAAGGAAGTACCCTTTATATAGACACACTATGAGCCCAAAAGTGGACAGTGGACAGGTGCGTAAAGATCAATGCCTCAGTCTTTGGAACTTTGTTAACCAGCTGGTGGTAAAGTTCAGAAATAAAATGTGTGCCTAGTCACCGGATAACCTTAAATTTTAGAAGTCTAAAGAAGCTCAATTTAACTCAAGTTAAATTTGTGGGTTGATTTGCATGTTTAGTTCCAGGCACTGAAAGCACCTGATTTGGGTAACAAATTTTGAGATTCTATGCCCATAAAAAGCAGCATGTTTTTTGTTATGGTACCCAGGGCCAAGCACTTTTAATCCATTCAGATATGCATCTGAATGATGGTGCGCAGCATGCAGACGATAGACCAAAACTGCATGTGGACCCCCCTTCCCATTACTGGTTTATGCACATTCACTATTCTTTTGCCGGAAGCGTGCAAACAGAACAAATCCCTGCGTACTTTTGTACATCCACTACCTACAGCTATTGTTCACACTTGCTCAAACTCCAGTCATCTTTGAACACGCTTCATTTGCTCACTGATTTTTGATTGCAGGAAAGGTAAGCCAAGGAGTGAAAGACACAGGGGAGATGGTTCTGAGACACAGACATTGGAGAAAGAACTGCCAAACGGTTATGTTAATAGCACTCAGGTTTGGGCACATGGCTGATAGAGAGCTATTCACAGAGCGGAGTGCTCTGAATGCAGGCTGAATTGTACATGCAGAATGACAGGTATGTCTGTACATGTGTTTTCTCTCTTGTGGTGGCTCCCTCCTGATGGAACAGCCTGCCTGAGAAGGTCAGGAAGGCCCCCATTACTTCTACCACTTCACAGAATGTGCAAAACAGAAATGTTCAGCAGGGCATTTTTATAAAGGAAATTGAGTTATGGTATAATGGAATGGTTCAAAAAGTGCTTTTCTAAAGGGAAGAGGTCTTGGTGGTGGTGGTGGAAAGTGCCATAAAGTCACAGCTGACTCATGGCAACCCTGTAGAGTTTTTGAGGCAAAGAGATGCTGAGAGGTGGTTTGCCATTGCCTGCCTCCGTGTCACGACCCTGGTATTCCCTGGAGATCTCACATCCAAACACTAGCCAGGACCGACCCTGCTTAGCTTCCAAGATCTGATGAGATCCAGCTAGCCTGGTCTATCCAGGTCAGGGCAGTCTATGCTCTTACTACATTGTTTTCTACTTGTACAATACCATGTACTGCATTGCTTGACATACCTCATCTGATCATTTTTGCACTGCTATGAATTCATAATCCTAGTGTCACTGCATTGCTTATTAGATATCCCACGCTATTGGATACATTTTTTAACATTGTGAAAGCCACCTTAAGTTTACTGAAGGGACGATCACTATCCCGAGCACTTCAAAGTATGAACTGTTTATCGTTTGGTTGTTTTAACTTGTTTTTAAGTGTTTTATTGTAATCTGGCACATGGTGCCAATAAATGTAAGCCGCCCTGAGCCTGTCCGCGGGGAGGGTGGGATATAAATATAATAATAAATAAATTAATTAAGTCAATAATAAAGGTTGGGCTATAAACAGAATCAATATAAACAACAAAAGGTTTTATACCCCACCCTTCACTACCCAAAGGAGTCTCAGAGCAGCTTACGATCGCCTTCCCTTCCTCTCCCCACAACAGACACCCTGCGAGGTAGGGGGGCTGAGTGAGAGAGCTGTGACTGACCCAAGGTCACCCAGCTGGCTTCATGTGGAAGAGTGGGGAATCAAACCCGTTTCTCCAGATTAGAGTCCTGCCTCTCTTAACCACTACACCAAACTGGCTCTCACTCCTTTATTATTTTACCTTCCATTTTGTCCTCTCCTTTGGCTGCTGAAGGCTCAAAGAGAACCCTTCTGGTCTTCCGTAGAGGAACTGGGCTAGGCTGGCAAGTTTTCTGTTTGGCCTCCTCACATTCTTGCTGTATAGAAGTTGTTTCTAGAGCTGGAAGCATCAACAGTGTCTCCAATGATGGAGAAAATTCCTTCTTCTCAGGCACAATTTCTTTAACAGGTACTGCTGATCTCTGGCCTTCAGCCTGTCTGACACAGTAGAATTAGATCAAAAGCAGGAAATTAGTTGTGAAGAATGCAGGGGTGGTCCTGAAAGGAGTGTTGTGCAGGGCACAGCTCTTGGCTACAAGGAATCCTGCAACTTTCAATGAGAACTGCAACAACTGGGCAACTGCTCTGCAACTGGCACACAGTGTCTGAGCTGGAGCCATCCAACACAGTATGAAGGAAGAGATCTGGATTGTACTCATTTCTTGTGGAGAATCGGAGAATCCAAGGGACATTGCTGTCAACCTGTTTGTTCAAAGAAATCACAAACAAGCCTCCCTCCCTCTACTAGTAACCCGTTTGTTCAGACAGCCAATGTGAAGTTATACTTCTGAACATTCTTCTGTGCAAAAAACCCAAGTATCTTTGAATGCAGAAAATAAGCCTGTCAAGGAGACAGGCTTAGTGTAGCACATATTATGTGCATGAACTTTTAACCTGAAGGGAGCAAAACCAGTACCGCCCCCCTCAACACACACAGTCTAAAGAAGCTCAATTCAGGCTTCTGCCATTTCAGTATGCTTTGAATCATTGCTGATCTGGCCGCGTTCTTTAGGTTCACAATTATTCATGCAGATGATACCAAAAAATGACAGAGATGAACGAACAAGGCTAACAGGAGAGAGCTCAACAGCTAAACATACCTCAAGAGCCTCATCTGGTCCCTTGACGTCAGAAACAATCTCTTCAGGAAGAACAGGTGACTGACCCAGTTCTGGGGCCTGAAATGGGCGAGTGGGGGTGCTGTTGAGCAGCTAAGAAGGAGATGCAGATATGAGGACAGCTGAATCTACTTGACCCAAGTTTAATACAGAAATGGTCAGCAGCTGCCTTTGGCTCTTTCAGACAGACAGTCAAAGCCCACAGTATGGTTGCTTACACACTAGGTGCTTAGTCTGAAGTAGGCATCTTTCTTTCACTCACTATTTATGGAGAATCCAAGCTATGCTGTCATGGGCTTTTTGCATTTCAATGTTATCTGTGCTGTTTCCTTTTTTAGAGGTCTGATTTGTGGAGATTTTTCCTCACATAAAATGCAACTGCACCACTGGCCACCTATGTACACATCAATAAAGCACCACTGAGGCTTTCCAGGGCTACCTTTTTAAATACCTCCTTTCTTCTTCTCAGCTTATTTAATTACATCCTGTTCACTCCTGCAGCATTCCTGAATGGGTCCATGATCAGTTCCTAGTCCAGGCCGGGGGGGAGGGGCGGGAAGTTTCAGTTGCTGCCGCTCTTGTCTTTGCAGCAAAATAATTTTGTTCACTAGCTTTATTTCTTCAATCATGCCTTTATGAAATTATGCCCAAGAAAAATAAAAATATCTCAGTTGCAAAGGGGAAAAAACAATTAAAGCCACCTGTTTTGTGGGGGACTCTTTAGAGATCTGTTCAGGAATGCTACAGCCATTTTGAGTTAACAGGCATTAATTAATCAAGGAGAAGCAGAAGCACTCTCAGCCATGTTGTGAAACAAGAAGGAAATAACAGTATTTTAAAGGACTTCTCCTGAATGGGACTGACTTGCTTTCTTCCCAAGTAAACGTAATGTCTTGCGCATAGGGATACACACTGCTGGATTTTTATGTAAGTGCTGTTTGGAATCAGAGTTTCAGATCCACACTAAGCCAGTTGTGGAAAAGGAACTCTTCATCCATGAAAAAGGGGTCATAGTGTGGAAGCAACTAGTGGAGTTGTTCTACCTCAATCCTACTTTGCATTACAGAAAGATGGCCAAATCAAGACTCAAGCCATGAGAATGGTCTGTATAGTTTATAGACTACAACTGATAGTATCATTGATGGGAATTAAGGGAATCCCATTAACCTAGTAATTAGTAAAACCCATCTGAACTCAAGACAAGAACCATCGAACAAGACAGTCTAGAAAACATGCAGACAAGCACTTTTCAAATATATCAGATAACACTCAATAGCAAAACGTTACCATCCCCAGTCAAAGCAATATTACAGGGATGGATACTGTTTTCAGAACATCTACTTTGTGGCTTGGGTCTAAGTTAAAAGAATCCAAATGGCCCAAGTTCAGGGCTCAGAAATGAGATATCAGTTCTCTTACCTTTTCCTTGACAGTCAAGAGCAGCTTAATAGGGTTACCACTCTCTGCTTGCTTCAACGAAGCCATCAGAACATCCACCCTCCATTCACCTTCCCACACCAAACACCTGCCCAGGCAAAAACACAGGTCACTGTTGACATTGCTCTGGGATAATTTCATTTTTACTTTGATAGCTGTTGATATAATAACAGAGATTTTATGGAGCATCTCAAAGAATACCCCAAAGGATCTCGATGGTAACAAGAGCAGAACATCCCGGGTGGGCCTCATAATAGACAGTGCATAGTAAGTTACATAAGAACATAAGAGAAACCAATGTTGGATCAGGCCAATGGCCCATCCAGTCCAACACTCTGTCACACAGTGGGCAAAAATACCAGGTGCCATCAGGAGGTCCGACAGTGGAGCCAGGACACTAGAAGCCCTCCCACTGTTGCCGCCCTCCACCCAAGCACCCAAGAATACAGTGCATCACTGCCCCAGACTGAGAGTTCCTATCTATACCTTGTGGCTAATAGCCACTGATGGACCTCTGCTCCATATATTTATCCAATTCCCTCTTGAAGCTGTCCATGCTTGTAGCTGCCACACCTCCTGTGGCAGTGAATTCCATGTTTTAATCACTCTTTGGATGAAGAAGTGCTTCCTTTTATCTGTTCTAACCCAACTGCTCAGCAATTTCATTGAGTGCCCACGAGTTCTTGTATTGTGAGAAAGGGAGAAAAGTACTTTTTTCTCTACCTGCTCTATCCTATGCATTATCCTGTAAACCTCAATCATGTCAACCCTCAGTCCTCATTTCTCTAAGCTAAAGAGCCCCAAGCGCTTTAACTTTTCTTCATAGGGAAAGTGTTCCAACCCTTTTATCATTCAAGTTGCCCTCTCCTGCACTTTTTCCAGTGCTATAATATCCTTTTTGAGGTGTGGTGACCAGAACTGTACACAGTATTCCAAATGAGGTCGCGCCATCGATTTATACAAGGGTATTATGACACTGGCTGATTTGTTTTCAATTCCCTTCCTAATAATCCCCAGCATAGCGTTGGCCTTTTTTATTGCAGTTGCACACTGTCTCAACATTTTCAGTGACTTATCTACTATGACTCTAAGATCTCTCTCTTGGTCAGTCTCCGCCAGTTCAGACCCCATCAACATGTATTTATAGTTAGGATTTTTGGCCCCAATGTGCATCACTTCATCACATCAGTTCATCCTTCAAGCCTGAATTCTACGGCAGACTGGGATGGTATCCATATGGAAGTAGGCTTGTGTGGTTTCCCCACTGTTGGTGTGGTGGCCAATACAGAGCAGCAACAAGACTTTAACATGGTAGGTTTTTCTGCAGTTAACCTGTCCCAGTCTCCCAACAGTAGCCACCCCTCTCCCCAGGGCCACTGTAGTTGTTTTTTATTTTTAAAATGGTAATTAAATTACAGTTATAGCACTATAGCACATATCAATATGTGTAACAAGTTCTCTGAATTGTCAAGCTTTCTTTCTTTCTTTTTAACGGAAGTCTCTAGTGTCTTGCATTGTGGAGATATGCCTTTCCCCTTATATGCAATAGAAAAGGCTAGAGACTTACTTACAAAAAGAAAGCTGGGAATTCAGAGAGCCTGTTATACATATGTTATTATATAGATATAATGATGTTTAATTGGCAATTTTTTAAAAAATGAAAACCTGGTGGGTGGAAGAAGAAGCTGCTACAAGGACAATGCCAGGGAAAATGGCTGCCAAATGAGTGGGAAAATCCAAACTTTCACACCCACATAGCAGCAATTCAAGCTTTACTGTGCTCTTTCCCAAAACTTCATAGCAAAGCAGGTTTAAGTAATATTGGGAAAAGGCTGAGGACACCCTAGAATGTGTGCAGATGCACCACAATGCTGTGGGGAAGCAGAGAAAAAACCCACTTTCCAGCAGTACTGACTGTGGGGCAGGTAACCCGTGTGGAAATGGCCGGGGTTAACATACTGGAAGGTCTTCGTTTAATTCCCTGCTGTCTTTATAATGTCAGTTTCTTAAAACTATCCTGTCACCGTAAATTTGGAAAGGATTTTACATGTTAAGACAACCGTGACAGGCAGCATATTCCACTTGGCATCTAGAATCTACCTGGTTTCAGGCCCCAGTTTTCCAATCCTTTGTGGCTTAAGGTCCGGATTCACTAGTATTTCCACAGTGATGCTCATCTTCTGAGAACAGCAGCTCCAGTCACCCAAACCAAAAATCACTAGCTGTTTCGGCAGCGGAAGTGGCAAGAGAATCTGGTAACATTTCTGACCGCATTTGCTTGGGCAAAAAAAGGGAAAGAAAACAGGGTCACCATATATCAAAAAGGATGGGGGCAGGGCAGAATTCCAGTTTTTTTTTCTTATCTTTAAGGCTTCTTTTGCTTGTAATCATGGTGTGCACCCACAGGAGAAAGTAGACGAAAATGTACAGGAAATTAGGAATCAGACTGAATCTCCTTGCCCTGCTACTTTCTGTTCACACTGAGGATTTTTTTGATGTAAACATTCAAAGGTAGAACCCACCACGTGCCATCTGAAGTGGCACAAGCCAGGCTTGCTTACCCAAAAGCTTCTTTTTAGTCACATTCGACAAGCCAAGATAGAGGGGGGAAAGCAACTACAAAGCGAAGACCAAACAGGCGACGCCTTATGATAGGACTTACAATAAGGTTTCGCCGTTTAGTTACAACTTCTGCCGGCTTTCTTGCTCATTAAGGCCACAGAAATGGATCTGGCTACGTGAAGCCAACACTCGGAGGTCTCACCTGCTGAGCTGACGGGGCGGCTCCTGCAGAGACCAAAGAACGTAGAACTCGAGCTGAGCTCCCCCCTGGGCAAAGGCAACCCCTCGGGGCTTCTGGGTGGCTGCTGCAGCACCCTCCCGCCGCCAGAGGCCTCCGGGCGTCCAGCTCCATCGACGGTGCAGAGGCTGCGGGCCGTCTATAGTTAGGACGCTTGAAGAGAGCATGGCTGGCAAAAGAGACCTAATGGGACACTGGATTTTAACTGACGGAGGCCCCGGGAATTGGGGATGCGCCTGCCAATTAACTCGGGGCAACCCGAACGCGGAAACCTCTTTGGCTGGAGAAAGGAGGCCTCCTTGACCGGCTAGCTTTGCTGTTTAATCTCAGATGAGTGCTAAGGGGGGAAGGCAGACATTTTGTGCGTGCTCTGAGGTATTTGTTACCTCACATGGTTGGGCGCATTTACTTTTCGTGCTAATAAAATAGGCTTCTAACGCTTGCGTGCGAGAACCGGTGCACACTGAATCATTTTTTAAAGCGCCGGGTGTGATCCGTATCTGGAGAGGATAGTTTTACAGGAAGCGGAGAGAGAGAAGAAAGCGTACATCTCCTTACTTGAGTTTCTGCGACAACTCCGGCGTAGATGCGTTGCATCCTCTAGGTCTGATACTCCACTAATTACCTAGAAACCTCTGAGTCGCACAGCGCTCAAAAGACAGGTTGTAACATACTTCTTGATGGACTGTCAATGCTAGCCTGTACATTTTTATTCAGAAGCTTGTTTGTTTTATAATTCTCACTTTGTTCAGTATGGTTTTCAGATAAGGGTGCCTAAGATGCTGCATTGGTATTTTCCGCTGCTTCCGCGACACTCTCCCTCTCTCCTAAAACGATGTCCACATCTCTTTAGATTTCACTCTCCTACTGCACTGTTAGAATTTCTGCTGTCTGCACTATTTTATTGCCCAATGGTTTCGGCTCCGTTGTAATTGTGGCTTCTCCCTGAGGCAACCTGATATGGTTAAAAGCCCTCTAAGCCCCCCCCCCCCCTAA